ATTGGGCTTTTATGAAAAAAAAAAAAAAACTAATTTTTGAGCTGTAAAATGTTTTATATAAAAATATAAATATAAAAATATAAAGCCTTTCATTTAGCGAATATCTATTTAGTGCGTCATTGGCTGACAGGCAAAGAGCTTGTGAGACCTCATCAGCTGTCTCTGACTAAAATCAAGTCATACAAAGATTCAAACACTTTTGTCTTATAGGTGGGAAGACGATGTAAAAAAAAAGAAAAAAACACCAAACATTGCAGAAAATGTTTGAGGAAGGAAGTCTTATTAGCAAGGTCCTAAGCATTAGCTTTGACCAGCTAACTTTTCTGATGTCTAAAAACAGACGTTATGTGGCGATTTTCTCATTATGGAATGTTTCTATTATAAATATCCTGGATTACTCTTAATCTGTGGACTCTTGTGGACGAATGGAGAATAAACAATTGAAGATTGGATTTATAACACGGCTTCTAGCTGCCTTCAAAGGTAGGCTGTTGTGGGTACTTTGTCATGTTTACATTTTGACATGCTGTTATATTTGTGTTAATTGTGCTTTGGTGCTCACTGGGTCCATAAAATGAAATTGGTGGTTGAATTGTGGAGAATCTAAGCTTTCAAACAACATCTAACGTGTCTATATTGGTAAACATTTTACAGTTCATGGTTCTTATTGTTAGTTGAAAACTAGCGAACGGGTCGATTTTGAGAAGTTTATTTTGTTTTTACTAACATGAAACCGTAAAAAGTCTTTACCTCATCCAGTTTGAATACAAGTCGTTGGTGGCATCTACGTACTCGTACTGATCTTCTTCTTTGTAAATCTGAAAAACAAAAAAAATTCAATTCAAATACAAAAAAAAAGTTTCTTTATTCTGTGTCATGAGGGAAGTTTTGTTTTCTATTTTGACTGACGTGAAATTAAATTAATTTAAAATCAGAAAAAAGTAAAATCATTTTCTATAAAAGGAATTATGGGCATTTACTTCCCAGACCACCAAATGAATACCATTGTTGCTTTAGTCCAGAATAAAATGTATTTTCTTGACAATAGAAGGCCTGCTATTCACAGAAATCTCAGTATAGGTATTAAAAGTAGGTGGATTTCATTTGTTCTCCTTTGACAAAGAAAGTACAGTGAGGAAAATGCCTTTGCACTGGACTGCCACCAGGTTGGCCTCGTCTTTGTTCCGCGCAAAGTTTACATACCTAAGCAAACAGAAAAGCTCAGTTAAAAGCTTTCATTCAGACAGCGAGCTCAACAACAGCCAGATGCATGTCTCCCTCCGCCTAGCT